CATAACTTTTCCGGTTGCTTAAAATTTGTATTATTTTAATTCTCTGCAATCCCAAATATATTTCAGTTCTACCCCACTAGGTCCCCGTGCCGATGAAAAAAAAATCCCTTGAATCGTCATTCAATTACACATTGGCATCTTTAGTTGTTTTTTTTTTTTAAATAAAATTATAATTAAACGTTTTGTATTAGATATATGTATAAGTAAACAATCTTAAATGAATGAAAGTAGGCTACAAGTAAGAAAGAAATATTACTATTGTAAATCTGTATCAGTCCTCACAAGCCGATGATGAAAACGATAATACTAAAGCGAACACGCAAGGCAAACTGACGCTGTAAATTAACATAATTATTAACCAACATTCCTCCCCGTGGCTACTTTTGATGTAACGTAATTTTATTTGAATGACGCATGATTCTTACAATGGAGATCATTACAGACGTCATAATATGATTAATTAAGCACACGATTATTAAAAGAAATGACAGCTGGACCAACATGGTACCACATGACGTGACGATATCGGTCTTGCTCCACCTTGACACAACTGGACACGTCAACGTCACAATAACAACCGCAGCGTGTCATGGCCGGGTGGTCACTAGACCGTACACGTGTCATTGTATGCAGGAGCCAGTCCATCCCCGCCCCACCACCTTGGTCGGCTGGACATCAAAGGACGCTTGACCATATTTTAGTTCTATACCATGTGATGAGTCTTGTAAACATATTTTATTTCTATACAATTTGATTAGTCTTGTAAACATATTTTAATTCTATACCATTTGATGAGTCTGTAAACATATTTTATTTCTATACCGTATGATGAGTCTGTAAACATATTTTATTTCTATACAATTTGATTAGTCTTGTAAACATATTTTATTTCTATATCATTTGATGAGTCTGTAAACATGGTGTTAGCTAATCGCTTATAGCGTGGGGTTAAGGGAAAGGATATTTAAGAGGAGACATTTTGAGGCATTTCTCAGTTAGTTCGAGAATTTAAGATAATCAAATACCTAAATCTGAGGCGTCGAACTCTAAATCCATTGAACAATTTTAAATTTTTGAGTTCAATCTACTGAAACGGTTGCTATTTAATTTTTTAACGCTTCAGTTCCATAACAAGATCTTCTGCTTCTGTAAAATGGGTATGTTCATTATAAATTTTGAGGATTTTAAAAATTTTATTTTATAATTTTAGCCTATCATTAATGAGTAGCTTACTACGTTTCCTAAAGTTTTGTGACTGATATACGAAAAATGTTCACAAGTTAGTTAAGGTTATAATAACTTCAGCTTATTTTTTTGTTACACAGTATGCATGGCTTGATTATCATCATGCTTAACTATTTATTTATTAATTTATATGCGTACAATTAGGCTATACTTCTTTGTTACACATAATAATGTGTCAACTCCGGGTAGAGTTTGGAATTAACAGCAAACATGTAGAGAACCCAAACTAGTACAAAAGTCGATTTTCTTGAGTAGGATTTAATACACACTTTTAAAACGGAAATATGTTACAAATGGCTGTTCATTTTACTAGATATTGTATTTGATAAACTTTAAATATCTAATAGGCAGATACTTTTGCTGAATTTTTAATTAGCTACCTAAGCTTGAACTGTATTAATTCTCTGAATATTAGTAATACCTTATCATAATTACTAAAACATGGAAACGCGTCGTGCACCTTTGAGCTAGTTTTTACGTTTTTCCTATGTTTGTCATCATTCTTCAATCCTTTAAACGTCTTTTTAATACTTATCATGATTGCGTGACTTGTCAACAATATAAAGTTTATATTATGCTGATTTTGCACTTCATATACACACTGTCAAATTTCGAACAAATTGTAAATAAAGATAATTCTTATTGAATATTAGGATTATATAATTTTATTAGATATAACTATAATACAAATTTTGTTTACCATTTTTCAATACGAAGATGGTATTATTTCAGATCTATCTGCTGAACTGTATACCGTAAGCAGTGAATATTTCTATCTTCACTGCTCTGGTTCAAATCCCGCGGAGTTTACGGTAAGATGGATGACTTTAATTTTGTGTGTTGTTAATGTGTTTAAATGTATCTCATTGACTTTTCTGGTCTAAATTTTATATAATTTTATGCTTGGTAAATTGACACTGACTAACTTGGACTCTTGTAAAGTGGTGTTAAAAGTTTCTTATTGGCTTAAACTATAACTTTTTTTATCAATGGGTCATCCATAAATGACGTCAAGCTTTATTCCCCCCCCCCCCCCCCCCACTTCGTCACGCATCTTCACAAAAAGTCAGACCCCTCCACCTTAAATGACGTCACACATCAGTCTGCAACCCCCTCCCCCACCCCGTCTAAATTGCAGTTGAATTTTTCTTAAAGCACCGATTCTCTTTTTTTTCTAAACTCTCACCTGAACTCTTAATCAATTTATATTTCACGAAAGATACTTTATTTTTGTATATAATTAAAAGTAAACATTTTTTATATATGTAAAAGTCTGACGTCACACCATCTGATCCTCTTCTACAAAATTACGCCCTCCCACCCCCTACAAGTGTGACGTCATTTATGGACGACCCTTACACTAAAAATTAAGACACATTAAAATATGTTTGTATTTTTATTTCTCTTTTCCCAACTACAGACCATCGAGCAAGAAGTTTGCATATCAGATGAAGATGTCGACTGCTATAAAAGCTGCGATGACGTCGCCAACTGCTCAGAAAACTACTGGGCAGACGACGAGTGTTCCAGCTGTACAGACGACGATAGTTTTTACAACACTTCGTCTTGTGAAGAGTTCGAGCACTCTGAATCTTCAGATGATGAAGACGAATTAGAAGATTGTTGTATCGACATTGACGGCGAGTTTGACTTAGAGGAAGATCTGGACATGGAGTTTGAGGAATACGTTCCTAATCAAAGCTGTCGTGTGGAGGCGATTAATTATATGTCTATTTCAGGTAACATTTATTTTATGATCTATATCTCTAATAGGTATTATTAGGTATTATTATATGTATCACGTAAAGAAATATAGGTTAAATATATTTGATGATCTACCAGTTTGTGCAAACTATAGGGCCTATTGTATTTATCACGTAAAAGACATCTGATAACATTAGGGTTTTACTACATTATAATAATTGTAGTGGAGGCAGAGGCGTAGCGAGGTGGGGGGCCTTAGGGGGCGCCAAAATGGGTTGGAAAAACAAATTGAAAGTTTGAGGGGGGGGGGGGGGGTGTAAATCAAAAGTTCGATGGGGGTGCAAATTGAAAGTTCGAGGGGGGGGAGTGCAAATCGAAAGTTTGTCCGCGCTCACCGGAGGGAATAGATTTATATTTCAGTCACAAAAATAGATTAGTATATTTATTTTAGAATTATAATAGTTACTTTTCATGTTGAAGTAGATTAAACATAAAAACGTTTAAACAGTAAACCAGAATATTTAAGTAGCCATATTTAAATAGTATTTGCTGTGTTTGTGTAGTTTATTATTTTATAAATAATGTACATTATGGTAATCAACATATAAAATCAGTAATTTTGTTTTCAGACGTACTCTATGGGCTGTCTATGAGAGCAAGCAATGCCTACGTCATGTAGACGTCACAGATCCACACAGATGCCTCTAGTAAAACCTACAGTGTGGGCGTGTGATTGATCATACAGAAGCTTCATCGTCACAGCTGCTTCTAACAAACCCTATGGACAGGACGTTGATAAATCATTAATGAGCTCTATGACGGAGCTGCCTCTAGCTAACCCTACAGCTATCTTATGATGGATAATACAATTGCTGTATGACGCAGCTGCCTCTAGCAAACCCCACAGCTATCTTATGATAGATCATACAACAGCTGTATGACACGGATGCCTCAGTAAAACCATACTGCTACTGCTGATTTGGGCTAGATCATACATCAGCTTTTTTCTTGTTAGCCTGGCAATATTAAAGCTAGCACGATGTTACCATTAGTGTCAAGGTTTGCTGACGATGGTGAAAAAAAAACTTGCTATTAAGGGTATATAGAAAAACACACCCAGCTGAGAGAAGTAGCTTACATCATTCAAGAGGAAGTCGAGGGACAGATTATGAGCTGAACACACTTCATACAAAATCTCACGATATTATCAGTGGTCTCCTCAGCTTCTTCTAAGGCTCACAACTTGCCGATATTGAGATGAAAGAAACAATTTCAGACACGATTCACAAGCACTCAGGACTTATAATAAAACATTTATTAAACTGCTGATATATTTTGATAAATGTATTCTCTTGTATAACTACTGTATGTAATTGTCTGTACTCATGTTTATAAAGGGAAATAAATCAATTAAATTTTAAAAAAATTGAGTTTGTTTAAAGATAGAACAGAAAAGAAAGCAGTAGCAGATGTTTATTGTGTGTGTTTGTAGTTTTGCTATGCATGATTTGTTATATATAAAATTTACAGAATATATAATGATTAAATAATTCATGAAATATAAAGAGAAAAGTAAATTAAGCCAACTATTGTTCTAGTTGACTAAAGCCAGGTGCTTTATTCCAAAGGTTTATTTAAACAACACTGGAAATTTCCTTTGAAAAAAGTCACAACATACCATAATTATTCATTCACCGTTCATGCATCTCAAACATGTATTTAAGAATGAAATTAAAGGTCGAAATGTGTTAAAATGGATAGTGCAAGTACTATAAATAGTGGCAAACTTTCAGACAGAACATAGTAACATATGTTGTTACCACGAATACTTAATGAATCCAAGTGTTGCGATTCCTTATTTTTTCCAGTAAGCTTTTCTGCTTTCAAATGTGTGTTCATACATCAACACCTGTAACTGTTCCTGTAATTGTGTTCCACTTTTCAACCCTTTGGTGAATGTTGCATGAATAAGCTTCATATGAAACCTCGGATTGTGAAACACTTCTATTTTAATGTATGATATACTATTTTTTTTTTTTTTTTTTTGCTTTGAAATGTTTATTACAGAGTCAACATCATGGAAATCTTAATACAAACAAGGAGCAGGCCAACAAATGATGCACAGAAAAATACACTGTGTTGTTATATCATAGACCACTCATCATTCAAGGCTATATCCAGATCTTATTTTCAAATTTATTTTTTTCACATGTAAATTGTCTTTCCTGTCTTCCATTTTATTTTATGAATAACAGCTGCACATTAACTGTAAAATCACATTTTCTTAGGACCTATGTTTCATCGACTGCCATAACTGAAGCATACTCTTTGTACAAAATTATTTTCTTATCTGGGTGTCTACAGCAGCAGACAGCATTTCTTCCAATTCTTCTTGAGTAAATGGTTCTCCTTCTTCTGTCATGAATTTTGTCAACTCCTCAGCTGTCAAATAACCTTTCATGTCAGCATCCAGCACTTGGAAGGCTTTAAGTATCTGGTCCTCAGGTGAAGCTTTATACCTTCTTTCCATTAAAACTTTGGTCATCATAGGAAGAAATCTTTCAAATCGAATATACCAGTTGGTTCCTCTTCTTCAATCTCTGCAAGCATGTCATGGATCTCAGCTTCACTGGGGCAGCAGTTGAGGGATCTTATGATGGTACTCACCTCCCTTACATCTTTTTTTTTTTAAATACTTTTATTTGCAATTAAAACAAGTACATCAACATCAATTTTTTAACATAATTTTGAACACCAAATGAAAACGAAAGGTTTTGCAAATGTACATAATGAATATTTACATGATGTCATGTATTTGATTATAAAAAAATTGCAAAGGATGACAGTAAAAGGGGTGGAGGTCAAAAGAAAGTGTCAGAAGTCTGGGTGGGGAGAGGAAAGGAAATTTTTCAGAGAGGGTCCATGGGACAGTGAAGCATTTTCTATGTAGGGAAACAACTTAAGTTGACTAGTTGAAAGGGTGTTGTAGTGGTCGCATTGAGTTTTCAAAAGGTTGCAGTGTGAAAGATGAGGGGAAAGAGACAATATTTGGAACTTTAAATAAGTTCTGGATATTGATGTTGCGGTGGGTGGTGGGGTCGGTGGGGTCGTTGGGACAGTTAAAGGGATTGTGGGGTTATCATGTCTGAGGGTAAAGTGAATAGAGGGGGAGAGAGGAGGGGGTAGATTTTTTTTATTTTTATTAATTCAATTGTTTTAAACATTTAAATCAGTAATAATAATATATTTGATAGATTTTACATAGCATCAAAGACATGAAGAATGAACATCAATTGCATATATAATAATCAAAGGGAAAAAATAAAATAGCATAAGAACTAGATTAAAATAAGGTGTGCAAACTAGGTTTCTCTTCACTGCTTAGTTTAGCACCTCCGTTCCATCATCTGTTTTATTTGATAATCATATCGAGGCACGCGTGTATAACATTAATACTCTTTGTGTTTTTTCTTGCTTCGTTGTTTTAGCATTTATTTTAAAAATATGTTTAAATTTGATTGCAGACAAAATGACTCTTAATATATAATTGCAAAATGTTACCACAATTCGAATTTTAAAATTATGTGTTGATCTAATCGACGTTTTGAGAAATAATTTAAAACGTATGTGGATTGGTATTAAAATGAGTAGTTATTTCCCCTTACTGTTCGCTGCTTTGAGTCATTGAATACATAATTACCTAAAATATGATTGTTTTGTTTTAACGAGAGTATGAAATGTGCCACTACGTGAGCAAAATAATTTATCTCTGTTTGATTAATGTATGTGCATCTTACATACTGAAAGTACGCCTACGCTCAACTCTTTATTGCTGACAAAATAAAGGAAAATAAAGTTCTTGTTAGACTAACAAAGAGTGTAGATAATGAACTAAAGAGTGGGAACAAATAAAAATATATAAGCTACCATCGTCATATTATTATTCAATCATTCATTTGTCGATCATCACACGGACAACCGAAAATGTATACGTTAACCCCCACCTACCCCCCCCCCCCCAACTTATTCTATAAACAACAACAAACAGCTATTTCTTACACGAGCAACACAGATCCAACTCTAAACAACTTTCAGCTCTTTTACTTGATAATTTATTTAAACCAAACATACAGTCCTCACATGCTCGAACATTGATCTAAGTGACGAGCCCCCTCTACCCTCTACCCCCCCCCCCCCCACCCGAAGATCTACCTGGAAGAAACTGCTTACAACAGGCCCGTGTTGTGATTACACATATGTATGATGCTCAGTCATTATTGCATATGTAAATCCCTTGCTATTACAAATTATAAAACCAGTATCTAAATACGCGAACTTATGGCAGCCATTCAGTTTCGAAAATTTAAAAATACAAAACTGTTGTCTCCCTCCCCCCCCCCCCCCCTACCCAATTCGTCAACTGTAAAATACCCACAACATTTACACTTGATCAATCCCCGCTAATTATGTAATTATTTTTTTCTCAACACCAAAACAAAGTAATAAAACGTAAATTCTTTACCACTAATGCAGGGGTCGGCAACCTGCGGCTCGCGAGCCGCATGCGGCTCTTTTGATATCAAGATGCGGCTCTCCAGCTCTTTGAACAAATACTAATAATCTTAATAAAAAAATAAAATATTTTAAATTAAAAAAAATGATAGTGGCTCTTTAAAACCAGGGAAATTTTGAAAATTGTAACTTTTGGCTCTTCCGCTTCAAAAGGTTGAGCTTCATATATTAGACTAGCCGTCCCGGCTAGGCCCTGCTCTGGCTTCTGTGAAAAACCTTTCTGTTAAAGACCATTACCTGTGTGTTTAGTAATCATCATAAACCCAGCATTGCCCACCCAAACCACAACCAAACAAAACAACAAAACGCAAAACCGTAATTTTGTGACGGTGTGTGATGAGGGGGAGAGAGAGGGGGAGGGGGGTTCAGATTTGTGCGACGTCACACTTTTGCATTATAAAAAAACAATGTAAGAAAACGAATTTTAGACGTTATTTTACGTTTTAGAAAACTGTTTTAATAAGTTGTAATAGGAATTAATTAAAATACTATATTTTGACTGAGATCAGACAAGATTTTGGAAAAATATAGCTGTTTAAAAAAAATTCAACTGCCATTTTGAGGGGGGGGGGGGGCTGTAGGCTGAGGTGTGACGTCATTTTAGCGGGGGGGGGGGGGGGGGGGGGGGGGTCTGGCTTTTTGTGATGACGTGTGACGGAGGGGAGGTGGGAGGTGAAAATTGTCAAAAAAAGCGTTACGTCATTTGTGGATGACCCCCTTGGTCAAACATCTAGTATGTTTAATATATATATATAAATATATAAATAAATAAATAAATATATATATATATATATATATATATATATATATTAATATTTGACAACAATTTTAATACAGCTTGTTATAGTGATTAAAATATAGACATCAGATTGTTCATTAATTTGCAATACACATACATAAACATTTTTGCAAGTTCGAAATAAATTTTAAAAATTTAATATTAAACTTTAAAAACAAAACATACGCTTGTTATTTATGTATGACTCAACTGAGTTCGGAATCTCATTTATAGATCAACTTTACCCTTAAAGTTGACCACACAAGTATGTCTCCCGAATAACGACAAAATTAGCCAATAGATGAGCACTGCATTCCAATTCACATCCACTGTCATCAAACATTATTATCCATAATTAAAAATTAATGTGTTTCCTAACTTTACCCAGTAAGTTAACCTTAACAAATTAATGGTCTTCAGTTATCTCACTAAAAATACAAATATCTTGTTTATACATCTAGCCAGCGGCTGTCAGCTGTCCATTTACGCTCTACTCCACCTTTGTTTAAAGTTGTTTTTGATTTTAGAATATAATATTTTTTAAGTTTTGAAAAAAAAAAATAATTATTATGGAACTGGAGGGCCGCATATTGATATCAAAAGAGCCGCATAGGCTCGCGAGTCGCAGGTTGCCGACCCCTGGTCTACACAATAAAACAGTCTGTTACAGTTAATCATAAAAATATAATATACAAAGCTGTTATATCTTGGACTAGGAAACATATTGCACATGCATGGTAGTAATGAGGGTATTAGGTGAATAGGGGTGCTTATGTATGTTTTTTGTTATTTGCAATAAGTAATATTTCTTTATGAAATTAATATTTTCCACATTAATTTGTTTGTGGTTTTTATAAGAAATAAATATTTCTCTGTTGTGCCGTGTAGCGACATTGATTCAGCTGAAGATTTGAAAGTCTTCACAATAAATATTACAGTATTTGAAGGTTATTGTTTTGTAATTAAGGGTAGGATGATAGATGTTAATAATATCAAATATAAAATATTACATTCTTTTAAAGATATGCACCAACGTGTTAAACCATTTAGGAAAAGACCATCCGCATTTTTCCAATCATTATTAAAATTCAATTTAAAAATTATAAATAACAAAAAATATAGATTACTTTTCTTATTTGTTTTAAATATGTAAATGGGAAGTAACTGTTACCTACTTATACTTTAGTACTTCATTTATTAATAAACATTCAATCAAAGTTTAATTTTTTTTTTCCAAATAATCAAACTTCACGTGTATATACACGAAATGACATCAGTTATTAGAAAAGCTCTATGTGTTAAGTAAATAGCTTGCAGGCAACACTACAATACACAGCATGTACTGGTAACGTCTATCTAAACAACAAATATATGGTCTATCACTCTAACGACACTAACTAAAACAACCTTCCCGACTAATAATTGCCTAGAAGCAAAATGTCGATTTGTCTTATCTGCTGAGTTATTATGCTTATTTAATAACTGCCTTTATATTTGAGAGAACAAAAAAATAAAATCCAAGCTTTCTCATAGTTACAGCTGGTTTATCGCCATTACTGTGTCTAAAGTAATTAGCAGATGATAATAATCTGTTAATGTATTAATAAAGAGAAGCGGCAAACATTTTTAGCCGTGCTTTACGCATTTTCAAATTAAACGCTGATGGTTTGATTTTGATGTATGCTAAAGTAATCAGGGTTTACAGTCTCGATTTCCACTCTATCTGCCAAAATAAACATCACAGTCCCCACGATTTTCTAGTTCAAATCATTTTCATCACACCAGTACCGTCACAGTCCCTACGATTTTCTAGTTCACATTTTCATCACATCATTACCATCACAGTACCTACAATTTACTAGTTCACATCATTTTTATCACACAATTACCGTCCCGTAGACTAGCGTCACTACAATATTTTCCTGGCACCAGGGGTAGAAAAGCAGGCAGTTCAGGCTGATTGTAGAGTTTATTGTGGAAAATGGCGTTTTAGTAAAATTCGATTGATACAAAACTTTAAGGCTTATTTGATATATGTTGATTTCATAAATAAGTAAGTAAGATAGTAGTGTACAACACCAATAGGGGCAGAAATAAAGGGAATATTTCAATTAACATGTGTAAGTTTAAAAAAAAAGAAAGGAGGTAACTCTGTGCACTTGCTCTGTCCAAAGATTTTATCGGTTATATACCTTATTTAACTCGAGAAATTAAAATACGTAAATTACATGAATGATTTTTTTTTTTTTTTACCTCCAACCTGTAATGTTTTGTGTCTTTCTGCACTGCAGATTATTCGCTTTTATGTTACTATCGTCGTCATCGGTTAGTG